TTAGACACACAGAGCTGGATTGGCGAGTTGATCCGAGGCGCCCAATTTTCCGCCTCATAGGGTAGTCATATCGGCGGAACCTTTTTATTTTAAACAGACCGAGGCGGCCTTCCGCCACGGGAGGGGCTGTTGAAGACACCGCATGTGCGACCCACTGGCGGTGGATAAACAGGAAACAGCTGATAGCAGGAATTAGCGAGCAGCTAGTAGCTAGAGGGAAACGCAAACCTGACAGACACTGTAAAGATGAGCAACTGGGGAGACAAGAAATTGCGCACCCTCCTTGCCCTCACAAACGAAGAGGCCATTAACCGTCAGATGACGGGGACGATGAAGGACGGGCCTACTTATGAGAGAATCGCCGAAGGACTGACCAGCTGCGGCTTCCCTCCCACGTCACTGTTTACTTCACACGCTGAGCTACACGTTTTGTTACTTGCTCACGCCCCCCATTGCCCCGAAAAAGGTGCATTCTGTATAAACAAAAGCAGGTAGGCGGCATTTTGCTGCACTCCCCGATTTTGTTTTTATACTGCCAATGCAAAGACTGACTGGGCTTTCCTGCAAATTTGCACAATTCCTATTTAAAAAGGGCTTTTGTGATTCCATTTATTACTTCTAGTATTTGCCAGGCCTGTATAAGCCAACAGGAAAAGGAGAAGTTAACTGACCTTTCAACTTCCTGGCTTGGATGTACATCTGGCTGTGATCCGATTCAAAATGGGGTTTGGCCAAACCAATCAAATTCTGATCCTAATGCGTTCTGCTTGTATTTACACCTTGCATTAACATGCTAGTTTAATGACTGAGGTAGGATAGTGAGATACAGATCCCATGTTAATGTGTGGTGTAAATGTTGTCCCTGAGATCACTTTTCGTAGCTGGTTTCTGAATGATCACCCCTCTCAATCCTGGAGGGCAGCTCCAATGTCCACAAGGCTAACCTCTTAATGAACTAGCCAAGCAGTATTATTACTACATTTTGTGTGGTGATGATAAATTACCAGACATTTCTGTTGGTTCCATTTTGATTAAACACATTACTCTTTACTTTTAAATTATATATTGTTTTATTTATTTCTTTTAAATAAGATATCGTTTACGAGTCCCAGGAGAAGCCAAAGTATGGTGGGTTCTTTCAGACGCAATAAGCTCTATCAGTGAAGACTGTTTATCTTGAAAGAGAGGTTAATAAGTTTATACTGTGCATTACTTAAAGCCATAATTTAGTTTGAGAACAATTGTATTTGTATTTTTCCTGCTTTCAGTAAGATAAACTTATGGAAGTCTTTGTAACGCTACTGCCTGGAGGTTGAAGCCTGAATGATGAACCCAGCTAAGCTCAGTTCATGGATGTCATGGAACGGGTGCTCTCAAAGGAAGAGTAGAAATAAATTTACCAGTTAAGTTCAAATATAGTACCTCGACCTCGACCTTAATGTAACAGTTTGATAAGTGGAGCTTGCTGAGGTCGAATAAGTTTCGTCATGAGGTTTTTGTGTTGAGAGAACCAGTTACAAACTATTTTCTCTATTTTTTTCTGTTTCCTGTTACTAGAAGACACTATCTATCACTATTTATCATGGTGGATGCTTTTTATTATTATTATTTTTTAGTTTTTCTTAGTGAGGACAGCTCTGAATATTTTTCATCTAAGTCCTTTAAAGTCACAGTTAAGTCATTTTATTCATTCAAAGGAAAGTGCAAAGTGGCTGCTTGCTGTGTCATATGTTCACTGCACAAACAGCAAGGGGAAGCAGTATCCTTAGCCAGTGTTTAAAAGGACAGTTCACCCCGAGAATCAAAAACACATATTTTCCCTTTTACCTGTGGTGCTATTTATCAGTCTATACTGTTTTGGTGTGAGATGCAGTGCAATATCAGCCGTAGAGATGTCTGCCTTCTCTCTAATATAATGGAACTAAATGATACTCATCTTGTGATGGTCAAAGTGCCAATGAAATACATCTGAAAAACTCAACAGCAATGTCAATTTCCAGAAATCATGACCTGAGGCCTGTCCTACGACACAAAATTTGAAGTGAGCGAGGTAACTTCAGGGTTAACTTCAACACCACAAAACTGGTTCTCTTTTTACCGGGATAAATCACTGTGGCATCTTAGGCTAAACACCTAACGTGCTCTGGAGCAGGTAAACTTCAGCGTATCAGATCACAGCCCGTTAACACCTGACCTCTGACCAATCAGATCACTGAAGAAAAAAGTTTCCATGGACGATAGTCCAGAGTCTCAGGTAAAAAAGAGGAGCCTATAGATGACAAGACAGCAGAATAATTTCATTTTCTAGGGCTCTATTTCCACGGTTTTAAAACAGAGCTTCTGACAAACAGTGAGATCGTTTACACACATGATTTTAGCAGTATTTTAATTTATGCAAAGTTTATTTTAGTCCGCAGTGATAGTGTTGCTATTTTACACTCTGATTCCATCACTGCAGCTCAAAATAACATGAGACACCTGTGTGATGAGAACTAGGATAAAACAGATAATATTGCATTAGTAAAATAATCCACACAGTGTTAATTGGCTCCTGTTGTTATAAATGCAACATTTCAGTCAGATAGACCTCATCAGTCATTAACTAGTGTACTTTCTACCCTTTACTTCAGCAGCAGAAACAATCTGGTGTTACTTTTGAGCGTTTCATGTGACATATTCAGTATAGTTTCATCCTCTTCCGACTCCATTGCAAAAAAAAAAACTCTATATTAATGTCATATACAGTATAGCCTGGTGATACCTACATGTAATTTAAGTCTAGGCCGACAGTACATTTTTTATTTCTACATGTCCTGTCACTGACATTTTACTGTCTCGCAGTCCAAGGAACTTCCTGTACCGTTTCATCTCATATGATATGAAGTACCCACAGTTGACTGAACTAGTTGATAACGAGCTTTGGTGTACCAGTTATCCAGATAGACATTGTTAGGGTTAGTCAAACCAGATGACGAAAAGATATCCTGGGTAAGTTGAACTCGCTTCGTAGTACAGGCCTCTGGTTACTTAAGATAATCCACAGACTTTGTTGTGAGCTGCTTCATGAAGGAACTATTATTTCTACCAAACTACACCCATCAAACATATCAATGCACAGAAGGAAGCGTGCATATACTACTAGCACAGCTAACATTACTGAGCTAGCTAACCATCAATGTTTACATCTTGCACTGTCACAAATATGAGCCTCTCATCCATGAGTAGATATGGCGATATAGTATGCAGGTGTAGAAAGATATTTTTTTGATATATTATTTTAGTGCTTTGAGAACCACAAGACAAGTGCCATCTAGTTCCACTACACTGGAAAGAAGGCAGACATCTCTACAGCCGAAACCTCCAACACTCGGCAACTCACACCGAAACAATCTAGATTGATAAGCAGCACTACAGGTAAGAGAGAAAATATGTATTTTGGATTTTTGGGTGAACTGTCCCTTTAAGATTGATAGGAATAGAGTGTGCCAGGGCTGACATCAAAACCTGGAAGTTTAGCATCGCGCTGGTTCCTGGAAGAGAAAGTGAATGTGATTTTTGCATTGCGTTTTGGATTATGTCAGAAAATAAGCTCTGTGGCTAACACAAGTTTATGATACTTACAGGTTTTGTTCAGCAAGATAATCTTCACATATGAACACCTTTCATACCACATTTGAAGCTTAAATGTGATTGCCAGAAGTAAAAAGCTAACGTTAGGCTTTAACGGACTACGTGACTACTCCATGGTCGTATGACTCTTTATGTCACCGCCACTAAGCTTTCAACTGATTTCGGCCGCTTTATTTTAAAAACATTGTATAATGGGGAAATCGGACTGTTTAAGCTAAATAAGAAGCTGTAATGGCGGACTGCCAGCGCTCTCGCCTGTTCAGGGGTGATGACGTTTAATGTCCCCGACAGGGTTTGTAGTCTTATTGAGCAACTTGTTAGCAACCGCCTTTTTTACGACATGTAAAAGCTTCAAAATTCACAAGTAGGGTATTTACTGACGTGTTTTATGTCGTAGAACAAAACCTGAAACTCGCTTAAGCTTTTGTTAACCACAGACCTTATTTGAGGCATTTTACCAAAATCCCATTCAAAAAACATATTGACTTTTAGAAGAGAGAACCGGAAGTGCTAAAAGTGCTAACGGAGTTCCGGGTTTACTGGCACACTCTGTATTCTCAGTCTATAGATTGACAGGAGAGAAGTTGCAAGAATGGTTTGACATTTTGGGGGATATGCTTATTTGCTTTCTTGTCAAGAGTTAGATAAGAGTTTTGATATCAACTTCTTATCTGTCTGAAAACTATAAGTCTATTGCAAGCAACCAGTTAGCTTAGCTTAGCATAAAGACACGGGAAACAGCTAGCCTGGCCCTGTACACAGGTAATTAGCACACTGAATCATTTTTGTTAGATAAAATTGTTTTGTGTTGTTCAATATAAAAAGTGCAAAAGTGATTCAAAGTCTGTGTTGGTTGCCTGGCCACCTCTCGGTGATGACAAGAGTGCATTAATATGGTTCTCATATTAGACAGGCATCAAAGCGATATCTTCCTGATATAAAAAAGCGAATAACCCCATTTCCAAAAATGTTAAACTATCCATTTAACAAATTTATATGGATTTTTTAAAATGCTATTTACATGTTATGGGAAACATTGTAACTGATATGAATTTACTCTGACTACAGCCACTGTTCTCGTCTTTTAATAGCCACCTTTCAAGCCTACAGGTGAAGGGTGTTTCATAGTAAAATATATTTTGTATGGAGGATCACTTTAAGTATTTAGACACTGAGTACACACAGCTTCAGAAGTTCCACTTTTAAAGTTCGGACCACACATCACATCATGCTTGGGACGAGTAATTAGGTAGTAAGCGCTGACTCAACGCTACATCTGCTCTTTAAAGACGTGGTAAAAATTTCAACCAAAGTAAAATATGGAGAAGGGTTGACTAAGATAAAAGATGACATAAAGGAAACAGAAAACGTCCAAAATGAAAACATCTTTTTATTGTCATACACTTTGTAAAGGATGAGTGCAAATAAAAGAGCTTGTGATCAAAATCTACTCATCACTAAGCCATGGACCATAAGGCATCATTAAATACAAGCTTTTTGGAGCTATCATCTACAATACAAGGACGGAATCAAGGAAAAGAAACAACACAGCATCAATGCTTATGCAGTTAGAAGGAAAATGGAGGAAAAGAAATTCAAATGAACAGAAAACAGAAACGACAAAAAAACACAACACAATTTGTACATTCAAAAGAAAGAAGTAAAAAAATTCACAAGGAATATTGATATTACGGCAAGTGACGATAAAACATAGTCTACAATCTGTTATGTACACTTGGCACTAATGTTAGATCTTTGATTGTTCTCCTGTCAGGTTGTTGTCAACTCTAGCATGTGCACAGGTCGCAACTCTTTTTTTTTAGTTATTTATTTAAATGCTAGTCTAATCATTTATATAATCTATAAATATTCTGAAACAATCATTCTCTCAAACAAAGCTGTTGAAAAGTTCTGCAAAGCCTGACGTAAAACTTCATTAGGTATTGAGATCAAACTGCTCAATGGACAACAGTTCATCAGAAAAATGCTCACATAACTTTTTATATATAGTGTAGAAGGATTATTTTTTTCATAACAAGAATCAATCTTTGATAGTCCATCTCATGCACTTGAAAGTTGTAAACAGTACAAATATAAATGATCCACTTACAATATTTGAATCCCAGCAATTCCAAAATAGACAGACAGACTCCAAAAAACAGCAGCAGATTGTTTGTATGCATTTTCCAACACTGGCAGATGTGTATATAATGAGGTGGAAAATGGCTATTTAACATGATTGGATTGTCTCTATCTATTCCACGTGGCTAGAGAGAATCAAAAGCAGTATACAGCTCGAATGACGCCACAGCTTCCAATTCATGATGATATGACTCCGATTCGCTAAATCTCTAAAACACACATTTAAAATATATTATGATTTACAGTATGAAGTAGAAAAATGGCCTGGGGTGGTCTTCAGCATCCTGATATGTCTTTTCTGATATGTTAAAGGGAAAGTTCAGCCAGATTTAGGTTACTTACGTGTTACTTTAACTTTATAATCCAAGAACTCAATAATTCACTCTTTGTTTGTGTAAATAAAATCCTTCAAGATTTACAAAAACAAGTAGGCAAGTTAAAGATTAATTTGTTCTCCACAGTCACTTTTTCAGCAGTGTTGTAGTCAAGAGTAGCCTAGTTTATATCGAAACAAGATAAAGGCTGTTTTGTTATATCAAATTAATAAATAAAAGTTAAAAACCAAAGGCTCTTATGCTTAAGCCAATTATCACAGCAGCCAATGACAAACATTCATTTTCGGTTCGCAGCGCTTCACGGGGCAACACAACCCCATGACATTGTCATTCTTAACAACTTTCAGTTTTTTGTTCTTAAGGTGTGTTCAGACTCAACACAAAGCTCCTTTCAACCTCACTTTTTTCACATACAGCTATAGCTAGCTAGAAATGTGCATAAAAGTGAGTGTGTGTACTTGAACATTTGTGCGAACCAATTTGAGTTTTAGACCTTAAGAGTGAGAACATTTTGGCCAGTTCTCACCTTTGGACAGAGCATTAAAAGCCTGTTTGAGGGTTCAAAATTGGTTTAAAGATTCAGATTAGAATTAGGTTAACAATAGGTGAGGGTAAGAGCTGGGGTTAGGCATTTAGCTGTGATGGTTAAGGTTCGGGAAAGGGGCAAGGGAACACATTATGTCAGTGAGGGTCCTAAAAGTGTTGAAGTACAGAGGATGGCTTGTACAACTGGGGACAAAAGCCATGTCCCCAATTCAGAAAGAGGCGATTTTTTGGGTCAGTGCTCAAAGGGATACTTTGCTGATTTTCAACCAGCTCTGTGTCACTGACTGCAGTGTGTGCAGATGAACTGTGTTAAGATGCTCACTGTGCGTCCAGCTCCTAGAGCTCCCTGCCAGTGAGCCAGACAAAATCGGCCTCATGACATGTTTCACTACCTACAATACAGTGACACAGAGCTGGTTGAAAATCAGCAAAGTATCCATAGGGTTAGGCTAAGGTTAAGTTAAGCATGGTTTGTTACACTGGCCTATGAAAATGGACTCCGAGTTCTCTTGTGCCGGGTTCACACTCCGTGATATCAGCCCGATTATAGCTCGACGTGGCGTCATACAGTTGTGGCTCGGATCATGAACGACAATTAGTGTCGTACACAATAATCCATCCTCTCATGTTGTGCAGTGTGTCATAGTAGACGACAACAGACGCCACATCTGGGATGCCTCACGACGTCTCGACAGAAAGTCTAGCGTGTTTGATTTTCTTTTCGTCAGTCACAGCCGTCACTTTGACCAATAAGGACACAGAGGGACCTGCTGCCATAGACAACTGTATGTCATCAAACCCCAGCCTTTTTGATATTTTCTCTCAGAATGAGTGAGTGCTGCCATTAGCCTCAGGCTAGCAAAGAACGTTATTTCTTCATAATGGAGAAGGGGACTGCAAACAGTGACACAGAGTTGGTTGAAAATTGGCGAATTGTCTCTGTGGTTAGGACAGTGGTTAGGGATTGGGTTAGAGTGAGTCTCCAGAATGTAAGTCTATGTAATTTCCCTAAAAGGTGACCTAAGTAAATCAGCTCAGACCGATATTGTCCATACCCTGGCATTTTCCTCTTGTAAACTGTACTGATTTAGGTGGTCGCATCTTTGCTTTAAATTGAGATGATATAACCTTTGAGAGGAGAGATAACAGAATTTTCCTCTTACAAATTAAAAGTTGAATTCATAAGAAATAAAAGGCACCATTGTTACAGTCTTACTTGATCTGGTATGACCGTAGATTATGGTGGCTATCTATATGACTCGTCTCCTCTTGTGCTACTCCTACAATAGCTTTTCATTTTAGCTGAATACTAAACATGGTGGTATAAGTAGTTTTGCCTTTAGCATAAGCTCATAAATATCTCTTGTAGCCTCATAGTCTCAATTTAATTAGCTCCGCCTTGAGTTAATCTAGCATCTGTTTGCATCCCCTTCTGTCGGTCTGTCGGCTTTGAATGCGATCAAGCTGCCTCTAAAAGTCACTGTGGATTCAGTCTGAACACACCTTAATACAGATGATTTCTTGAGTATTAATTTCAGTGATTGGAAGAGATTTGGTAAAGTAAATCTTTTCATTTCTACTTTTTAGTGTACTATAATTAAAAAACTTTTACTTGCAATGTGTTGTTGGTAGGTGCACAAGTATGCTGGTTCTCAAAAATGCTAAGCATACTAGTACAGCAAAATGACTGCAACACTGCTTTTAAGCAACTCGGAACAAATTTTAACAAATAAAAAAAACAAAACAACTTAAAGTTTACTTTGACTTCTCAGAGTTTTGTGTTGCCTTTTTAAAGGTCATGTGCTCTCCCTTTACGCATCTAACAGTCACTTCATTACAAAAACATCTTTTTCCTGTGCGGATCCAAGTCATCCCCTCAGACCCGGACCCGTTAGCAACAGGTCCTTGATCCATTTAGGTTTCCAAACTATTTTATAAAACAGTTTCATACACTACTCAGAAAGCTAACGTGTCAGTTCATGTATCGATTGAATAAAATAACTTAAAGTAACTGCACTGACTATACAGTAGCAAGCTTTAGATTTGTATCTATTATATTCTGTATCTATCATTTGCTATTTAAAGTAAAATAATATACATTTATTTCTGGGAAATGGGGGATGGGGGGGCTCAGTGACAGCATTTCTGAAGGGTAATTAGTTCTCCAACAGTTGGCGAGATACATTTCAAGTGTCAGCGATTTCACAGAACAGCGTCAAGTGAGGGAGTCCTGGTCTGACCAGCGGCTTTGTTTCCCCAAAAGGCTGTTATTGTTCAGACTTCTCACTTTATGTTCACAGGCAATAATCAAAGCACAGGCTGATCAGAGAACAGTCTCCCCATCAAAGAACTGTGCCAACACATCCCCACACAAACAGGGATGCTGGCTTCTTCACATTCAAATGGTACGGTGTAAATAAGAGGACATTTTCTTTAAAGTCAAATAAAGCTTCTGAGACACACATGTAACTTGTAAAGACACCCACACATGAGCGACCATGAGGTAACACTGACAAAATGGTCTACACAGTTGACAGACATAAGGAATGGCAAGACAATGCTATGGAAATATACAATGTGTGATGTACAACAGTTACATTCATTCAAAACAGAAAAGAAGACATGGAAAAAAATCTACATTTGTTCTCAAACGTGTTTTTTTTTTGTTTTTTTTTAAAGTCCAGGATGATGTGATCAGTTGAAAATTACAAGCAAGATACATCCAGGAAATAAATCAAATATCATGAAGGGATCAAGTCAATAGTAAAAGACAAAAAAGATAAAAGGAAAAAATATCCAGTATGGTTTAAATCAAACCAAAGAAAATATGAGTCCCGACTGCTTTGAGAAGCTGGACAGTCAACTTATCTGTACACACACATGCCAACATTCCATGAAAATACACACAGCACGGGCAGTTTTCATCACTGGGCTGGCTTTTGGATTCAGTGCATTCTTTAAGGAGGTGGGTTATTTATGTAGAGTTATGGCGGCTGTTTGTTTTTTTGTTTTTTTTTTTCCCTTTTTTTTTTTTAATAGTTGCTGATTGTTTGCTGTTTTGTGTCCCTAACTCATTTGACATACTCAGCTGACTTCCAGAAGTGCCCTGGGTGGGAAAGGCGACGGTTCCGTTTTGGCAACTTTTCCAGTAAATCTACCAGCTTGGAGAAGCTGGGCCGCTCTTCCTGCTTGTACGCCCAGCACAGAAGCAGAATGTCCTGGAAAAAGATACATGGAAAAGGGGCTTTTAGATTTTGCACAATTGCTGAATGAATAAATGTCGTCCAAATAAATATATTTACTGAGCCAAAATATACTACATTTATCTCAGCCTAAAACAGAGATTTTCAAACTGGTTGTGCAAGGATATGAGGGAAGGATACTGCATGAGTTGAAATGGACCCATGCATGCAGGTGTTCTGAAAACACCTGGAAGTTAGTTATCATACTTCAGCCCGCTAATTTGGCCCACTCACTAAGGGTGCTTTCACACCTGCCCTGTTTGGTTTGGTTCAATCAAACTCAAGTTCATTTGCCTCCTTAATGCGATTCGTTTGGGCAGGTGTGAACACAGCAATCACACTCAGGTGCACACCAAAACAACCGGTCCGAGACCCTCTTGAAGAGGTGGTCTCAGTCCGGTTAAAAACAAACTCTGGTGCAGTTCATTTGTGGTGAGAATGTGTTCCGACCTGGATCTGAACCAACTGCAGTCACATGACACATTGTTTGGGTTAAACATGAGCATGTTACAGTCCTGGAGGATTAATATGCACATTCAGCACATCCAATGCATCAAAACATTGTTTTCTAGTTGGAGCCGCGCCTCGTTTTCAAACTGTATGGTTTGACTAAAATGAACAATGACAGCAATATAGTCCATGATGAGCAGCGCTAAAATCAACCTGCGTAGTTGTCCCTCCATTGTGACATTAGAAAGTGTCACATTTATCTTGCAAGTGTACTCTTCTTCAACGTTTGCTTTACTTCCTGGATTTTTCCCACATGGAAATTCTGACCAATCAAGAGCATCTTTCTCGCACAAGACGTTTGATCTGGTCCGCTTGTAAATGCTGCCGTGAGAACACAAACCAACTCTAGGCAGTTATGCAACTTTGTAACACAATTAGTGACCAAAATTAGACCAACAAACAAGAAAAGTGGATGTTTTTTGGGGAGTCATGACTGTTTTTCCAACTTTTTGTAAGCACCAAATCACCAAATGTGGGTGTTTTGTAGCAACCTGTAACTGTGTTTTCAGTGGGGTTTTTTGACAAAAAGAGCAGATGTTTTTTACTGAGACATCACTGCTGTTCTTGCCGAGATAAAGGCATGAAAAGCAGTTGTATATATCAAGACATCGCTGCTTTTCCTGACAGGATTGTACCCACCAAACTGGGTAATGTAAGCTAAAACATGATCTCTTCCTCACCATATCCAAATGAATTTCTTGCGTTAACCATATCAATGATGAAACATATCATTTCAATGTATCTGCTACATAATAATTTAAAAAATGTAATGTATCCATGGTTTGTAGAAACTTGCAATGCCAACATTATTTCTGGCGATTGGGTTGAAAGTATCCTTTGCTGGTTTATACTTCCTTTACATCAGAGGCCTTAGAGTGTGATTTGTAAAGACTTGTAGCTAAAAATAAATGTGTGACCTGCAAAACTTTGGGGCCACTCAGAGACTAAGCATGCTGAATTAGCATATAAACCTCCGGATCTATTCAGAGGGAGGTGTTCCAAGGAGAGAGGTGAAGGTATTTAGCAAGGTGAAGGCAACCAAGGACTCATACCGTGTTGCAATATGCATTGCAAAGACAGGAAAGGCCAGTAGCTCCGCTGGACAGGTGCAGTTGTCACAATTTTCCCTACTGGGTGCCCAAAGAGTCACACTGAAAACCCCTGGTCTAAAGGACCAACTCTGATCTTATAGCCTTTGTTAATTTAAACACACATTTTCAGTTTTTGTTTTGTTACCATCTCCCAAATTTAATAAACTGCACAGCTTTGTGCAAAACTTCTGTTTTAGCTTAACCTATCTTCACATCCTATAACAACCAGGATTAATTAAATGCATTTATGCAAAATAACGTAAAGGTGGTTAACACTTTGTTAATTGTCCTCCTGAGAATTTTTAATTCCTCACATGCATTCTTCTAAAAACTTTATTGCCCCTGGATATTGTCACTTTGAGAGCACTTCTGTGGATCCAGCCCCAGATTGTTCACTGTCTCTATCATGCAAAGTGAAAGTTTTCATTATATGTCTGGGATTCAGTGGGTGCTTAAACATGAAAATATGCAGCAATTTACTTAAATTTGAAAAAATAAAATTACAAACCAAAAAAGAAAAAAGCCCTTACTGATATCTCCTTCCCCATGCCAGTCTGGGCGAGGTTGGGCTTCATCCCGCTGCCAATCTGCCATATGATCACCTCTGCTGGCTGACTCTTGTAAGGCCACTCACGTGCGTGTAACTCATACCAGATGGTGCTGTGAGGAAAGAGGAACAGAGTCGTGGTCAGTGCTTTGAACTGTCTGGTTAAGAGAGAATAATACCACAGCTTCAAAACACACCTACGGTTCACATCCTGCACGGTGCTAACACCACCAGGCAAGATTTCAGTCGCAGCAACAATAAACCATCAGACTGAATGTTTCTTGATCAGCTTTCAGATTCATGTACAGCTGCAGATGTTGCCTCTGCACAGTTGGACCATGATCTATGCAAAAATTTGCATTTTGAGGATGAAATTTGTCTTGTAGTGTTGAAGAACAATTTCAATCAAGAAGTTAAAAAACAGCACATTTTTAATTACTGCTCAGGCAAAATCAGAATGCCACCCTCCCTGTGCAAATTGTTTTCATTCTGCTCCTACATGTCAAGTCTGAGGAGCTTAAAAATAGCTCTTTGCCAGGAGTATGGAGAAAAAAAGTGACAGCTGATTGTCGATGAATATGCAAAACAGGCATGAGGGTCACCTCTAGGTAATACAAGAGCTAACAGAGCAGCTGGACACTGTGCGCCAGCGCTGTACTCTTCTTCCATTTAGAATGATACAGCGACAAAACCTCCATATGGGGGACCATCTGAAAATGCAAGAGTCAACAAAGCAGGGTCCACCCCCACAAATGAATCAGTAATGGCAGCAGAGGAAGAACGGGAGCCATGGGGATTTTTAATCAACTTAGGGACAAATTTTAAATTGGACTTTAGAGGAGGAGAGGGAGGACACCTTGATTTGAGAAACCAGAGTGACACTAAGAAAAGCAATCTGTGTGGAATAACTACGGGAGGCAAAGAGGTGATTTGGGCCAAAATTGGTCACATATCACATTATTTTGACAAAACAATTAAGATAAGCAGGTGCATTTTGCAGTTCTGCAAAAAAATATAAGAAATTTGTGACCACCTAAATGCAAGAATAAGAGGTTTTGTTGAGCCAAGCTGGTCCCATTAATACACTGTACTATGTACTCTTATCTCTACTATCTAATATTAGTAACTACTGTAAAATACATCTTTTTATGCAATGCATTTCCCTGTGTGTGTTAAAGAGGAGTTTATTCCAGAGAACAAACAAGAGATTCAGAGTCTGGATATCAGTATGTGTCTGACACAGTGTCAGTGTTATTTACTTGACCTGCTGGCAATTGGTTTCATGTGTGTTCAATCAAGCCCTATTTGATTGATTAGGTGCACCTGTAGAGTAACCTACACATGGGGTGGCTCATCATGCAAGCCTCATGTTGCACTGAGAAAAATCCAACATGGATGTTTGCACTTTCTAACACTGTCTGTACAGCCCTCTAATGTATCAAACAGAAGCCTTTAAAATCCAGACTCTAGTCTTAATGCACTATACTTTCCCCCTAACTATCCAACCAAAGAAGACAAAGAACAGTCTTTTAAGGTGAAGCTCAACCCAGCAACAATGAAAAGAATAGTTTGACATTTTATCCACTGTGACTTATTCAGTGTCTTGCCGAGAGTTTGATGAGAAGGTTTACACCACTCTGATGTCTGTATGTTAAATATAAAGCTATAATCAGCAGCTGTTTATCTTAGCTTAGTAGTAATAGTTTACCAGATAGGTCATTATGTGGCAAGATTTCACTGTTGGCTTAGTCGCAGAAAAAACATGAAACTCTATCAGGAGCTTCGCCTTGTAAAAATAAATCAAAACCTATATGACTGGACCATGTGGGAATTTAATTTAAAGACACAGGAAGTGGCCACACTCAGCAGTCAGACAGGAGTCAGGTTACAAACCAATCACGGCCGACAGATATCTTTCCCTTCTTCAGTAAATATTCAGTCTGATTAATACAGAAACATTGATCATGTTAGTGCAGGGCTACCCAGAGCTTTACATCTGTCCCACGGACGATAGGCCTACACACTTATAAACTCTTGTAACCTGGCACAAAAAAAAAAAGGCACAAGAGTAGCACCTGGCACCTGACCTCCGTTTTCCAGGCAGTTAAAGACACGGCATGTGTACAGCCCCTAATCTAAAGTGTGGGATCATTTTGAGAAGGTGAAGGACGAACCCAAGGTGATATGTAAACTCATCTTCATTGGTCGACTACAAACATGACGTATCATCTGAAACATGGAAGTAGCTACATGCCCATTAGCCCACAGCGTCATTAACAGGCGGCTCGCTCAGTGTGTGACGTGCACTTGTAGATAAAATATAGGCCTATATTAATGAAGGTTCATTAGTACGGTTTTGTATTTCTCTGTAATGTAGCACAGTGTTAACAATGTTACTGATACTATTCTTTCTCACACCTTCAACTCAAACCACCAAAATATATCATTTAATAATTACATTTATATCATAAACATGCAGGCAACAAGTTGACTAAATGAAGACTACTGGTTGACCAGGAACATTCTTGGCCAAGGGCAGTTCTAGTGAGAATGTTATCACTGCCTGGATTATATTTAGAAACAGTGTTACTTTGAGTTGATGAACCCTGGGTTTGTATCCAGTATCCATTGTATCTCTACAATAAATCTTGTTTGCCCACAGTGACAGTGACAACAGGACTTGAAGACTTATTGCTCTTGGTGAAAAAATGGTCCAGCACAGAACCCTCAATGAGACTGCAACTTGATGCTCTTACACTTGATATATTGTGTGCATCTTTATAGGAGCTGGTAGACCAGCTGTTTCCCTAAGTTTCAAGTCCTTTTCCTAGCCTAAGCTAACCTGCTGCTAGCTGTAGCTTCATATTTAGTGCACAGAATTGAGAACGGTATCTATCTCCTCATCTGATTCTAATATCCAGAGAATATTTCCCGTATTTCCCAAAATGTCACACTATTCCTGTAATGATCTGGCTCATATATGTACAGTATGTATCTCTCCTCCAGGCTGCTGTGAATGAGCTTCAAAACCAAAGAAATAAAACTTCAATCATGAAAATGTAAAGGCCATTAGAATCAACGATGATCCGTATGACATTAAAGACACATTACAGCCTGTCCTGTGGCCACTGGCCAGAAATTGAGTTTCCCAAGAGATGTACAGTATGTACCTGTACTCTAAACAAAGCTGGTGGGAATATCAGAGCCTTCACGTCTGGTTCTACTTCAAAGCAGAAAGGACGTCAGTGCAGTTGAAAGCCAATCAAGATGGAGTTACTGCAAAGTCCACATAGAATCAAAGGTATAATTTTGCTGAAAAATGAGACATTACTGACGTAAGACTGCAACAAAATAAAGGCTACCAACCACCTGGTGAAACTGCAGTAATACGTCCGCTCTTTGAGACTGTATGAAAGTCACAGTAATGGGGAGGGGGTTGATTATTGTTCTTTTTTATAATTAAAAAAAAGAGTAAGGCTCTACCCAGTGTGAATAATAGTAGTAATAATAATAGTGTATTAAAACACTATTGATTGATACAGTTCATTTAGCTATTGATGACTAACATTGCACTGGTAATATACAGTCAGGTCCATAATTATTTGGACAATGATACAGTTGTCGTCATTTTGGGACTGTACACCACCACAATGGGTTTTAAATGAAACAATGAATACCTGCTTAAAGTGCAGACTTTCAGCTTTCATTTAAGGCTTTTTTCAAAAATGTAGTATGAACCGTGTAGGAATGACAACCATTTCTTCACACAGTCCCCCAACTTTAAGGGCTCATAAGTATTTGGACAAACTAACATAATCATCAATTAAACAGTCAGTTTTAATACTTGGTTGCAAATCCTTTACAGTCAATGACTGCCT